AGTTGAAATTTTAACAAGTTTCTCACATGTCAAGACCTGTGTTTACCCATGGAGCCTGGCTCCGGAAGCCCCTCCTGAAGAGTCTGCTGAAAGGCCTGAGATGTGTCATGTTGATTATGATTCTGAGTTTTTCCTGTTGGCTGAGGGGCAAAGACATCTACTATTACGTAATTATCTTTGGCCACATTCAAACATGGTATGGTACCGTCATCAAGTCTCAGATAATGACACTATTACATATGTCATGGCTTTGGTACAAAAAGCTGACATAGCTGTTGTATTTTTGGTTTGTCAGATGCCTTTAAGTGACTGTGCCAGTATTTTATAGCACAAGTCACTTTCAGATGGCAATGACCAGTGGCTAAGGAATAGAGTTTGTTCAGTGACATCTTAGCTCAGTCAGAATTCTGCCATTTTGCAAAAGTGGCTTTTATCACGCAGTGTAGTGCTCAGCCCCAGAGGAGACATGTTTCTTCCTTTAACTGTGCAGGATTTGCCTCAGGTGAATGAGGGACACTCCAGAGGCATCATTGATTGTTTCCTTTCATTGAAGACAGAACTATCTCTATGTATTTCACAATGGTCTTCACACTTCTTCAGGATGCCTGCATAATGAGCTTCTTACTAGGCTCACTTCAAAGACTCCTAGTAGTGGCCTCAAGTAGTTTGAGGCCCTTTATGGATGTTTATAGGATTCAGAAAGGCATGTTCATGGAAAGCTCACTAAGTATTTTTGTTGTTCTGACTTATTCCTGGAGAAACTCAACCCTGTTATAAATCAGAAAGGCCGAAAGAATCAATTTCTATGCTCCACACTGGGATTTTCTGAATAAGAGTCCATGTAGCTTCTTGTGTAAAGATGATATTGACTTTCAAATTTATTTCAGAATTTTTAAAAAATAAATGAAGCACTTAATATAGGGCATTGTTTCAAAGTCCTCCATTTGAAGATGCTTATGACCATGACTTTATTTTCTTTGTGTTATTAATTATTATTATTATTTTAGTCTTGGGTTAGTGACATGTGCCAGGCATCTGGCAAAGTACTTAAGATAGGAACAACACAAAAACAGCTGTGATTCCTAGTTTCAGAATACCTGGAAAAGATACAGGTTTGTTATATGTGTAACAAACAGGCGCATGTCTATATTTTGTTTTCAAATCTATTCAATCGAGCTCCAATACACATATGGCATACTTTTGCATATTTATGTGTCTAAAAACTATTTACACCATATTTTATAGTCTGGTCTGCTTATAAGTCTGTGATCATTCTACATTTCTTCATGTATACAAGAAGCACATACAGATAATACCTAAGAACCACTGGTCAAATTCATTAGCACATAGTAAGAATAAAAGTTACAGAGCATTTTGTGAATTATAGATCACTTACTAAATTTATTATTTCATAACAAATTATGATGGCAAGTATTTAATTCAATTTTTTCTGGGTAACTATGTGTTGCAGAATATAAGCTACTTGTCCCAGGTCACCGACCCTGGTCTATATGGTCAAGATTCCAAATGGATTGTTTTGGCTACAGAGTTTCTGCTTTAAACCAAAAGGAGACAGAAATGCCTCATAAACATCGACTAGAAAACATTTATGTATCTCTTAGTTTTATGAAATATACCACAGCATTAAAAATATAAAACACTGGTGTAAATATGAATGTGTTTGATGTGAGAAAAACATTCTTTTACTTTATTTTTAAAATATGAGTAGAAACTCATTGCTTCTGTGATATCATTAGTCAATTTATTTTTCTTCTTTATGACACTACTTCACAGATGTTAGTTGCCATGAATATGTATCAGCAGAAAGTGTGAACCACAACCTAGAGTAGCTAGCGATTGCAAACTTCACTGCTTTTATGCAGCCAGGCTTCTACTTAGGGCTCTCTTTTATCACCTGTGCACCCTTGTACCTTCCATTCCTCTGCGATGATGCTACCAGGTGTGGTATTTTTCTCCAGTTTCTCAAGACAGGGATTATTTCTCCTATTTTACGTAAATAGCATGGGTATTTGCTATGTTCATAATGCACCTGATTTCATTTCCTTTGGAAATTTCTCTTCTGTGTAATACAAGTTCACATATGTTAGTGGCAATTCCAGTTGTATCTACATGTCAAAAAAAAATATCAGTGAACCAGTGTAAAACTCACCCAAGTGTTAGATAACCAAAAAAAAAAAAAAAAAGTTATTTTTTTTAACCCTGAAAAAGGATTGAAATGTGAATGTTAATTTTTGTAGCATTTAAGAATTTGAAAATTCCCAAGCAACCAGATTGATAATAAGATAAACTCTGGTACTATTTATGTAATGTTAATTAAATGGATTAAATTTTGTTTAAAAATATAAAAAGAATCACTAAAATCTAAGACACATGATGATTTTGAGTTAAAAAGAAGATAAATAATGCAGTAAAATTACCCTCCAAATAAAAGATTTATAATGAGATATAGTACTTTAAAAAATAAGGAAGATATTTTCAGGCTGCGATAATTGTTTGAAGGAAGTAAACAGACAAGATGGAGCATTAGTCATGGCGGCCACTTTGGGGCCCCCAGAGGAGGGAGTGTGGAATGGAAGGGTTAAGAAGAGAGGTCTGTGAGGGTCGGGGGACACACACCGGGCAGAAGGGACAGGTGCAAAGGCTGGAAGACAGTGGGCGAGGACTTGGGATGAGACGACACTGGGTCGGAAGGGCCAGATTCCTTAGGGCACAGCGTCCACAGCTGACACTTTGGATTTCATTGGAAGAGACACTACATTTTTTTTAAGCAGAGCAGTGATAAAATTTGACCTACGTTTTTAATAGTGCTCTGACTACTGTGTGGATATGGATAGTAGGGCGGCAAACGGAAAGGCTGGGGACCAAGCTACTGAGGGTCATGGAGGCAAGGTGACAGGGCTGTAGACCCAGAGAGAGGCAGATGGCCAGCAGGTCTCAGTGCAGGAAAGGAGGAGTCAAGGGTGAATATTGGCCCTGGAATACTCACTTGTTACTAAAAAAAGAAACAAAAGTAGAGCACAAATTTTAATGCAGCAGTAATCAACGTAAAGAAGCACTAACTACTTATATTAAGTTAATCACTCACAGCAGGTCCTCCTTATCTGTGGGGGATATGTTCGAAGACCCCCATTGGGCGCTGAAACCATGGACTCTACCAAAACCTAAATATACTATTTTTTTCCTCTAAATAAATACCTTTTTGATTAAAGAAAGCACATTTTGGTTTCTCTTGGCATCTCCAAATTGCCAGCATCACTATTTCTGCACTTTGGGGCCATTATGAAGTAAAGTAAGGGTAACTTGAATGCAAGCGCTGTGATACTTTTGACAGCCAGTCCAACAACCAAGATGGCTCCTAAGGGACTCACAGGCAGAGAGAATCTACAGTGTAAATACACTGGACAAAGGATGATTGAAGTCCCTGGCAGGATGGAGTGGGACAGTGACAAGATTTCATTCCACTGAGAAAAATCACGCTATTTAGAACTGACAAATACTTTATTTCTGGGATTTTCCGAGCACAGGCGACTGTGGGTAACTTAAACTGCAGAAAAGTGAAACCACAGGTAAGGGAGTACTACGGTATTTTCATCCCACAACTGAGGACTTGGAGCATCGCACCTGACCAAGAAAATCCACAGACTACGTCCACCTGGTTTACTTCTCTTTTTGTCCAAGGCCCCTGGAAGAAGAAAGTCTAGCGATGGGCTATTTCCCTCTGCACCTCACTTCTCTGTTCCCAAAACACAGTGTTGTACCCTTCAGAGTCGAGTTGGCCAATGTTGTCCAAACTCAACATCAGCGTCTTCTCAAAGTTATCTTTAGCAGATGTAAATTTTTACAGGGCCTATTATATGTCATTGACTCTTTTATATTCTTTATAAATTATGCTATCAATTCTTATTCTTGATGTGAATCAAGGTCAGTGAGGCAGAATTAGAATTCATACATGTGTCTGATATGTCCTCTTTTTTAAAAATTTTGTTTATTGATTTAAGAGAGAGAGAGAGAGAGACATTGACTTACTGTTGCACTTACTTATGCGTTCATTGCTTGCCTCTTGTATGTGCCCTGACCAGAGATCGAACCCGCAACCTTGGCATATCAGGACGACACTCTAACCAACTGAGCTACCCGGCCAGGGCCCCCATGTCTTTTGTGTTCTAAAACTTGTTTTTTGTTCCATGACCTCATCCAGCCTCATTGTTCAGAAAACATATTGATAAATCATTTAGGACGGTATCTTTTCTTGGCTCCTTCTGCAGAGAGATTAGTGAAAAATGACGACAGAAAAATATAAAGACATTAAAGGGACATATTCACTTCTCTCTGATAAAACTGTAACAGGACCAACTTTTTAAAATAAATAACTCCACCAGCCCATAGGAGAAAGCTCTCTAACAGGTCATAAGAATATCAGATTTCTCAGGACAGAGCCATTCAGGTGATAGATGAAAGGCTGACTGTGTGTTGTATTAAAGCACTTGCAAAGTACTATACTATGCATAGAAAAGTCAAAACGATGGGTCAAAGCCAAAACTGATTGAAGACTAGATTTTAGGGTCTTAAAAAAATGGGAGAGAATACATGAGTAGAAGAGGAATATCTCTGTTGATGTTCTTAATCACCTGTGACGCTTATAAAATCAGAGTCCTGGGACTCTCACCCCACCCCCCAAACCATTCCGGGCACGGGAACTGCCTATGTATCAAACACCAAGATGAGTGTGGTGCAAGTAGGTAATGAACTGCACTTTGGGAAAATACTGATTTGGTCCGGTATCTTTATTTTTTAAGTCAGCATGAGGCTCATAAGGGGAAATAGTTATCCAAAGTCTGCTGCACTCTTTTTTTGTTAGAGCTTTGGCTAAATCACTCTCCTGGAGGCCCAGTTCTGTCCTCTTTGATACTTGGATTTCGTTTTTGCAACTCTAGCCATGGACCAGCTAACAGCATATATCACTGTTATTTCTCTTCTAGAATCACAACCACAGCTGCCTGCATGATGGACCTAAGGCGGTATCCACTGGATGAACAAAACTGCACCTTGGAAATTGAGAGCTGTAAGTCTTTCTGAGCATCCAGGCCACTGAACTTTGCTTTAAGGTTCTCCAGCCCATGGGTCCTGTAAAGGTTCTGCTCGCACTAAACTTAAAGGAGGGAGGCCCCCTGGTACCTGGTACCTTGGTGATGTTGCCATCCTCTTAGCCTCATCCCTAAATCCCTGGGAGAGATGTGAAGGGAGGAGGTGACCTAGCAACAAAAGGAAGATGCTAAGAACCTGGAAGAAAACCAAGGGCTATTTCAGCCATTTAAAGTACGGTATTGGTGCAGAGAGCTACACCAGGCTTGGGGCAATAGGCGAAGGTGACAGGGGACGCGAGCCATCTTAATTATTTTTGCCTTTCATAAGCATTATCACTTTTCAATTGCAAATAAGTGTGGCCTTCTGGGTTAGCTGAACCCTTCATAGAATGTGGATTGGTGGAATTTTTTTTTATTTCCAGGGACTATTTTCAGTGTGGAAATTTATTTTATATTCTTGCTGAAGGCCATCTGATGAGCAAGATGGGTATATGTGTGTTTATCCCCTTTCCTGCACCGACCTGTTTTGCAGTGTTGTTGCATTTCTAGGCCATAGTTTGTGTCGTTGACGATTCAGTCCCCTACCCTATTGGGTCCAACGCTGATTTCACATTCTGCTCCATTTCAGAGGTCACCCAGGGAGGTCGTTTGAGGTGGTCTAGGAGTTTGAATCTCTTTTTTGTGTGAGTGCTTCGCGCTGTGTTCATACCTCATCCCACCCCAAAATTGGAAGCTGACAGCTTTATATCTGACCCTCCGGATAATGAGCAACTGACTGCTGGGCGGCTGCTCTCAGCCTGTGTCAGGAGCTCTGGCTGTGGCGAGCGGCGTGACTCTAAATCACCGCTCCGAGCGGAAACACAGCATTTGTGACACATTACGGGTATTTTTGCCCATTTCAAAAAATAGCTTCCAGGGATAATTAAACTTACATGCATTTTTTGAAGAACCTGATTTCATACTTGTATTTCCAAATCATCATTATTTTCACATTAGATCTTTGCCATGCAGAACTATTTAATAAAATTGCTGTAGAGGATTTTATGATTATTTTTATGTAAATATCTTTGGGATTAACTTTGCATTTTCATAACTAATAATACTGTTTGGAGGGCAGAATAATGTTCTTCGACATCCAAAATCGGGTTGTTTCAAATTGTTGATGTAAGGCTATTTTGGAAAAAGTACGTGGCTGTGTACCACTCATGCATTTTTGTAGCAAGAGAATTTTTCATGGTAGAATTTGACTGGAATTTTAAATAATCATGATTGTATGTGGTTAAAGCACCTGCACTCATGCCATGTCATTTGAGCCTCCACAGCCCCCTCAGGTATGTAAACAGGCCTTTGTCCTACAGAGAACTGAGGCCTAAGGAGCCAAGCGACCCCAGGGCTTTATGGAATTAAATTATAATTGTGGCATGAATTTTGAAAAATTAGCATGATGATTCTTTAGACTTTTAGAAAGTTCACATTTTATAAAGGGGCTTTTACAGGTCTCATTTCAATTCACAGTTACCCTGTAAATGAGGTAGAATAGATTTTTCCAGCTTTATTGAGATATAATTGACACACAATATTGAGTACGTACAATATGATGATTTGATCCATGTATATACCGTAAGACAATGACCACAATAAGGTCGGTTAACACATCTGTCACCTCACACAGTTACCTCGTGTATGTGTATGTGTGTGTGTTGGGAACCTAAGACTGACTCTTAGCAGCTTTGAAGTATACAATACAGTGTTGTGAAGTATATTCACACACTCCTCTTATAACTGAAAATGTGTACCCTCTAACTCCCGTCACCCATCTCCTCCAGCCCCCGCACTGGGCAACCCTCAATTTACTCTCTGTTTCTATGAGCTCGGTTTTCTTATGTTCCACGTAAGTAACAACATAACAGTGTTAGACTTTCTTTGCCTGGCTTATTTCACTGAGCATCATGCCTTCAAGTCTCATCCACGCTGTCCCCAGCGGCAGGATTTCCTGCCTTTTATGGCAGCCTAATGCTCCCTCGCGTTCGCGTGCCACACCTTCTCCCCACAGTGACCCAGCAGCAGACACTTCGGCCGCCTCCAGGCCTTGACTGCTGTGAATAGTGCTGCAGTGAACGCGGGGTGCAAGTATCTCTTTGAGGGTGATTTTAGTTCCTTCAGATATGTACCCAGAAGTTAAGATTGCTGGGTCATATACTAGTTTGGTTTTTAATTTTTGAGAAACCTTCACACTGCTTTTTATAGTAACTCTCCCAATTTATATTCCCACCAACATGGCTCAAGATTCCTTTCTCTCCACATCCTTGCCAGCATTTCTCATCGCCTGTCTTTTTTATGACAGCCATTCTAACAGGTGCGAGGTGATACATTGCCCTGGTTTTTATTTGCATTTCCCTGATGATTAGTGATGTTAAACGCCTTTTCATGTACCTGCTGGCCTCATCCCACCCCACACTGATTCATTCAAGAGTTTACTCATTCATTAAATATTTATTGAGCACTAATTATTTATAAGGCATTGTAATAAACTCTAAAGATATAATGCTGAAAATAAGTAGATAATATCCCTGCCATCCTTCATTATGATTACTAGATCTCCTTTGGAAAAATCTCTACTCGGTTTCTCTGCCTATTTTTAAATTTGATTATTTGGTTTTTGCATGAGCTCATTATATATTTTGAATATTTACCACTTATCAGATATAGTTTTTGCAAATATTTTCTCCCATTCCATATGTTGCCTTTTCATTCTGTTGATGGTTTCCTTTGCTGTGTGGAAACTTTAGTATGATGTAGTTCTGCTCATTTATTTTGCTTTTGTTACTTGCGCTTTTGGTATTACATCCAAAATATCATTGCCGAGACCCATGTCAAGGAGTTTTTCCCCTGTGTTTACTTCTACGAGTTTTATAGTTTCAGGTTTTACATTTAAGTCTCTAATTCATTTCAAGTAAATTTTTGTGAGTGGTTTAAGAGAGCCTTCTAATTTAATTCTTTTGCATGTGGATATTCAGTTTTCCCAACACTATTTATTGAAAAGACTGACTTTGTTCATTGAGTATTTTTGTCTCCCTTTTTCCTGCAAATATAAAATTTATTTTTTATCTGGTATGATTTTTATTGTATCTTTTCCATTACCATTTGCCCCCTGTACACTTTCTTCCACGCCCGCGCCCTCCCCCCAGCAGTCACCACACTGTTGTCCGTGGCCCTGAGTCCTTTTTCTTTTTTGCTCGATCCCTCTGCCCCTATCTGCACAGAACTGTTAACCTGCTCTCTATCTATGAGTATGTCTCTATTTTGCTCAAGTATGATTTGACCATATATATGAGGGTTTATTTCTGAGTATTGGGTTTGTTGGGGTTTTTTTTTTGTATTAGTCTATATGTCTGAATTTTTGAGACTTTTCTTTTTGTGGCTTAACATATGAATGGTTCTAGAAAATGTTCCACGTGTACTTGAGAAGAAGGTTTATTCTGTTGCTGTTGGATAGAATGTTCTGTATCTGTCTGTTAGATCTTATTTGGTCTGTAACAGTGACTTTCAACTGGTGTGCTGCAAGGATTTTTAAAGTGATACTTGACTATTGAGCCAGGGGCACTGAACTCTTTTTCCCTCAGGTTGTCAAATAAAAAATAACAACAGCCAACAACAATGGCCAATCAGAAGTAGACCTATTTTTTTGTCAGATCAGCAAAAAATATGTTTTTCTGGCGTGCCTCAGAATTTTTGTAGTGTATGTGTGCCCTGAGATGGAAAGCCTGAGAATCACTGTCACTGGTCTGCCGTGTGGTTCAAATCTGGTGGTTCCTTATTGATTCTCTGTCTGGATGATTTATCCATTACAGAGAGTGGGGTATTAAAGTTTCCAACTGTTACTGTATTGCACTTTATTTCTCCTTTTAGTTCTGTTAGCATTTGCTTCATATATTTAGGTGCTCTAATATGGGGGCATAAGTATTTATGATTGTTATAGCTTCTTGATGACTTGACCCCTTTATTGTAATATAATGACCTCCTTTATCTCCTGTAAGAATTTATCGCTTAAAGACTAATATGTAGATATGAATATTCCTGTCTTCACAACTATGGAAACAGACTCAAAGAAGTAAAGTGAGATACACAAGGTCACGTAGCCACCGGTTAGCACGGGGACACTGAGGTAATGCGGTCATTGGTGGCTGGTTTACGTTAGTAAAGCCATATTTTGGAGAGACAAGGTGAACAGGAAGATTGCTATTCTAAAAATAAAAAATAAAAACCTGTCCTTACAAAATTGAGGTTTATTCATATTTATTTAGACAGCAAAACATTGCTACAGAGAATGAAATATTGTGTTACATTAATAATATACATGATATCTAGACCCTGTTATTTTAAGTAGGTAGTTAAATAACTAAACATATTAAAATTAGGATTCAGTTCTCTTAAACAACTAGCTCTGAGGTTGATCCCTGATATTCCACCTTATTCATTTATTCCTTTCTGTTAAGTAAACTCTAGGAATTGATTGATTCATTCATTCTTCTTCCTCCACCTCCTCTCTCTTCCTCTCCTCTCTTCTACTTATTTTTCTTCTCTCCCTTTTTCTTTCGCTTCCTTTCACCTCTCAAATGCATTTGACCCTAATAATGACATTACTAAATCCTTATCACCTTGTTTCCTTATCAACAATTAGTATATTGGCCTAATTTTAGAGAGGATAATGTAACTTGATTCTCGGCAGTTTGAAGTGGGGAAATACTGGATTGAGCTCATTGTTCATTCATTCATGCATTGATTCCTTCAAGAATTTACTCATTCATTAAATATTTATTGAGCACTAGTTATTTACAAGGCATTGTAATAAGCTCTAAAGATATAATGGTGAAAATAAGTAGATAATGTCCCTGCCTTCCTTCATTATGAAAAGAGTGATAGGTTTTATTTAAGTAAATACATATAAGAATGTAAAATCCCACTAGTGAAAAGTGCC